GAAAAAAGAGAGGGGGAAAGAGAATAACAGATAGTCTATAAAATTCGACAATTCTCATTGTTACCTTCAAGTCTCTTATAATTCTCCTTATATATAATGAATTCCCATTCTTTACTTTACTAACTAATCCTAACTGATTACAACTACTAACAAACAGTTATTATAACTTCCTAACTGACATTCCAAGTGTGATTCCATTAGTGCGCTTGCTGCTGTTGCTTCTTATTGCTCTCTTTCCAACCTTCATCGTATTCTTTGGTTTGTAATAATTACTCCCTATCATTCATGGTAGGTTATGTTAAGAAATAGAAGTAACGATAAATTTAATGTTCTTTTCTAAATAGGACTAATGAAAATCATTGTTAGGATCTCTTATACTAGGAAAGAATATAGAGGATGATCCACTTGCCCTTCTTATTTGATTTTCTGCTGCATCATCTTCCCTTTCCTATTTCTCTACATTCCATGCTAGTTTTTGAAATTAGGAATGATGCATGAGTGTTTCCATATTGAGCAAGAGATCTAACCTTAAATCTCAATGTCTTGACACCATATATTTTTTAAATGTTTTGTTTTGTAGAGGCATGTTGTTGACTTCTACATCTTTGATTTCCAATCTGGTTTAAGAGCATTGGTTAAGACTGGCAATGGCATGAGGATAACCTTTTTTGTTGATGATTCATTGGTTGCTGATATTAACCCTGAAAAGAAAGACTTGTCTCCAGAGTTTGTTAGGTGGCTGGTGATTAGTACTTAAAAGTGCATTTTTATCATGGTTTTATATCATCATTTTGCACTTGAAGTATCAATAACTCCTTAACTAAAATATGTTTTATAATAATGTATCTAATAATATAAGATACCTATAATTTGTGGTAAATGTCTATTTTTAATGCAGGCCTATCACATAAATGAAAGGATTGATTGATGACTTGAAGAACTTAAATTGCAAGGATAAAGAGATGGCCAAACTTAGAAAAGAGATGTCGGTGCAATCCAAACCGGAACACTGTTCGGTAATTGGGTCATATCTAGAGCTATATTTCTCAGATTTAGGTCCAATTTATATGGATGGAAAGGTAAGACATAGGCCTACAACTTTCATATGGAGCCCAAGATCTAAAAAGGTCATTATCAAGTCCAAATTGTAGCAACAACAAAGAAGCCCGAATCTGTCTTCCAGCCCGAGCACTGTTCGGTATTTTGGCCATATCTGGAGTTCTAGAAGTCCAAATGAGCTGAAAGTTTTACACAAGAAATCTGAGACAATTTTCTACAACTTTCATGTTTGCAACGGACTCCAATTTTGACGTTATAAATGACGTTTTGGGCAGACAAAGAAGATAAGGATTGTCACCAAGTCAAAAGTTGGCCACCCACTTATCAATTAGTCATCAAATCAATAGTTCCCAATTTTGGCCTATAAAAGGAGGCATTTGCCATGCATTTAGGCATCTTGGTTTCCAGATCAAGATCATGCTCTTCCTTTCTCTCTTTGTATTTTTTATGCTTTGTTTTCATTAATATTAAGTTTATGCCTTTCATTTCCTTTCCTTTACTTAGTTAACTTTTATGTTCTTATTTTGTTTATCTATTTTTATTTCTTTCATTATGTCTAGCTAAGTTAATTATGTCAAGGTGAAAAGGTTACACTAATGGTGTAAGAATAAGTATAGTGTAAACTTAATATGGACTTTAATGTTTGATACTAACATGTTTTATATTTGTTATCTTGTTCACTCTTTAATACTTTGCTTGTTAAATGACTAATCTTGATTTATGTTGTATAACACTTGGTACAACAAATGCTTGGCACTTTCATAGCCCATAATGTATGGTATAACCGACACCTGAGCTATGAAAGGAACTTGATTTGTTGTTAACATAAGTTATAATCATGAATACTTGACGAGATTTACAAGTATTAGCATTAATTGAATAAGATGACTAATGTAATCATGTTAACAATATATAATCTGATTGGAACCTCCTTTGTGTGTGGTTTCCAATTCAGTAATAAGAGTTTATACTATACTTATTTGATATACTATTAGTGGAACCTCTAACCTTGACATTTGTTATTATTATTGTTTAATCCTTACATTAATTTTCCATCTCCAAGTTCTCATCATCTTCTTCTTCTTCTCTTTCTTTATTATTATTATTATTAGTATTATTAGTATTATTATTATTATTATTGTTGTTGTTGTTGTTGTTGTTGTTGTTGTTGTTGTTGTTGTTATTGTTATTGTTGTTGTATTTATTTATAATTTGTACAAATAACCTCCCTGTGGTTCGACCCCGGTCTTGTCGGGTTATTTATTACTTCGACACTCCTGCACTTGGGAGAAGACATCAATCTTTTAGTCGTGTCAGCTGGGAAAGAAAAATCTTTCAGGTGATGAGCGGTTAATGACTGAAAGAAGGGTAGAGCTCTCTCCTTGAAGAATTAGATCATCAAGTATTTTATTTCACTACATTCCCTTAGATGGGACCTTGAACTAGAACATGTTAGATGTTTACCATAACAATTTTTTATAGCTCCCTTGTCGAAGTAAGGCACCCATGGTGATTTTTATTAGATGAGGATCTATAGTCATTGAACTGGTTTTAGGTGTTTTTAGCTCCTCTGTCGAAGTAAGGCACCCATGGTGATTTTTCTTAGATGAGGATCTATATGTGAACTGGTTTTAGGTATTTTTAAAATATCGATTCATGAAACTGCATACATAGCTGTTGCAGGTACATCAAAGAAGGCAGCATTGTTAGCGTGATAAGGATTGTTCAGAGAAATGACAATGTGCTTATGATAGTCGCACCGCCGGAGACATTGGCAACTGGATGGTAATGGCCCGGATGCATCTTTCCAGCTAGCCTTGATGGTATTGTTTTGAGATGTGAAGACACATCAAATGATGATGTGATACCTGTGTAGTTAACAGTATCCAGATCGAACCTACGTTGATTTCCAAGATGTGTTTGTGTTTTTATTTTTCTTTGTTGATTTCCCCTTCGACATGGTGTATAGATTTCTTTTCAATTCTTTCAGAACATCGGCTTTCAGTACTATAAAAAGAAAAGCCAGCCTCTATTCTTTTTTCTTTTTGTGATGACCTCCCACTGATGATTGATGTACCATAAAGTTGAGATTGATGTATTTTTTCTGATCTTGCTAGCAACGATATTTATTACCTTACAAGTGAAGATCCATGATGTAAAATTAAGATTTTTTCTATCAATATTGTCCAAAACTGAGATGTTAACTGGGGTTATTTCAAGGGAAAAGGATTGATTCTTATTGTTTTTAAAACTAGATATTTGGAGAAAACGGGGCTTGAGCTTGCTTGAACATTTAATTTTAACTTCGTCTTGAAGAACTTGTACTAGAAAATGCAAATAATTGATCAAATTTTCATATGCCATAAGCCTATCCATAGGCAGGAATTAATCAGACAAGTCAGAATTTAATACAGGGTATAAGAATTGGCTCTCAAAAAAAGAACGAATAGGTTCTTATTCGACCATACAGGTGAATTGCTCATGGTTTTTAGAGTATTCGCCATTTGTATCATTTTGGATTGTGAGAACCATGTTGATATTATGGAAAGTTATCTTCTGTTTTAAAAACAATAAATTTTAAAAATATCAATTAATAAAATCATGAGATTTATTAATGAAATCCATAAGATTGTATAAGATTTTGTTGGAAAGTGAATCTAAATAAATATATTGCTAAGATTAGCATCGCTTAAAAGTCTATCAAACAATTACTATTTTATGAGAAATTTTTTTAATAAACCATAGTTACTACATTAGTTATTTGGAACATGTTTCGAGGAAGTAGATCTATCATAGAGTTCATTGCCCATTATCCTGATACTGACCTCAAAACTGCAAAAAATGGACAATATGTGAAAGTTTTTGGGGTATATGCTAGATGCTTTCATTATTCATTTTTTTTATGTGGATGTGTGTTTGATATATTCATGCTACTTTTGCATTCAATGTAGATTGAAATCTACATTCTTGCCAGTTCCCACTAATTGCCCTGAGTCTTCTTTCTCCCTCCTCCACTCCTGAAGTCAACAATCCTTTAATTGTCATTCATTGTCCTTTCTAATATTTGTGTCTTAAGGGCATGTATGGTATTTCTCAAGTGAAAGTCAATTATATTTGAATTGTTTTTTTTTTCCCTTTTATACTTGAAATTGATAAGAATTTTACTATCTTGTAATCGCTAAAGGTGATTACCTGTGGCAATGTCCCTTTGAAGTTTTCATTCCAAAGAATTCCTAAATATGTCTATACCTCTACAAGATTATATGAGTATCGCGCATGAGGTTCAAAACCAGCCAACCTTAATCATTGCCATTTTACATGGGGACTAAGATCATCAGAGGTGAGAAAATGACTTTGTGTTTTTGTTTGGCTGTGCTGCTTTTTTTTCCCCTTGAAAATTTTGAATAAGCCTCTTTATAGCATTTAGCAATGAAGAGACTATTCCCTCAAACAAGTAAAGATTTTCACACAAACTCTAGCTTCCTGCAAATTGGCTACACTGTTCTTATGCAAACATCTGGATGTGTGCCCCTTTGAAACTGTCATTCCTTTGACTAACCAATGCCCCCTTCCTTTGTCCTTCTTCACCACTTCCCTTTTCTTTTTAAAAAATTTGCAACGATTAATGGATGACTTTATTTGGAGCAAGTGGCCTTACCTTGTATCTCAAAGTTTTATATACATTTTTTATTTATTTGTTTTGCAGACGCATGTTGTTGATTTCTACATCTTTGATTTCCAATCTGGTTTAAAAGCATTGATCAAAACTGGCAGTGGCATGAGGGTTGCCCCTTTTGTTGATGATTCCTTTGTTATTGATATTAATCCTGGAAATAAAGAGCTGTCTCTAGAGTTTGTCAGGTGGCTGGGAAAGAGAAATCTTTCAAGTGATGAGCGTCTAATGAGATTAAAAGAAAGGTAAGGGTCTCTTTTTTCAATAATTAGATCACCAAAGTGTTTTATCCCACTACATACCCATAGGTAGGAGAGCTTGAACCAGAAAGCTTTTTAGATGTTTATTATAACAAATTTTTATATGCCATATCATAAGACATGAAGATATATCAGATGTTGATGTGATATCTGTATAGTTAACACTTAGCAGTGTCCAGACCAAAAAAATCCTCTACTTATCCCAAACCACATATTACCATGTTTTCTCTGTTAATACCAAGTTTAGTCATGCAATGTTGCTGCTTTTTGTAGTTCCCAGGTACTGATGGTCGAAGATGTGATAGTGCTTTTAGTTTTCTTCATTAATTTGCCATCTCAACTATGCTGTATAGATTTCTGAGATTTCTTTTTCAATTCTTTAAGAACATTAGCTTTCATAAATTAATGTATAGAAGACTGGTTATGCACCATGGTTGTTTCTTCAAAATTCGCAAGCAAGCTTCTTGGTTATTTAAACTTGTACCGTTAATTTTGAACATGAAAAATCTCAAAATATCACCTGCATTGAATTACTCCGAGTTGAGTGCTTTTTTTCAAAGAACATTGGAAATAATATATAAAATGCATCCAAATAAAATAATAGTTAAACACAAGACTTGGAATTCCCCAAATACTGAAAATGGAAACTAGTTGGGCTTCATTATTGCTGTCAAAATTTCATATGCTAAAAAGGAAAGAAAAAAGAGTGATGGCAATTACCAAAGACTGCAAGCTTTTTTTTTTTTTTTCTTTTAATGGGAGTTCAGCAGATTTTAAATCATATTTAAAAGAGCTATTACAAACATGATCCCTAGGTTAAACTTGTTTTTTTAGCGAATTATTAAGTAAATAACCTAAAGCTTATTTGAGTGTGCGGCTACACCCTTGCTCAAAATATCATATTTTTTTTAATAATATCTAAACCTAAATTAAAGAGTTTTACAATTAGATAAAAACTATTAGAATAAAATACAGAAAAGAGCCATTGCATACCCAATTACCACAAAAGATATATATAATCTTTATTAAGAAAAAAGGAAGGATTTTTAGATATTCTCCTTTATTAACCTTCATGCTAATAAAGTAACAACACAGAAGTATCATAAGGAAAATCTCAAGCCTAGCCTCCGCAGTATACCTGATTGGGTCATCTTTTGTAGTTTTGTTCACAAAATCTCCCGTGTCTGTCACCTTTTCTCTCTTTCTTTTCCTCGCCTTCTCTTCTCTGTCTTAAAACCCTTCTTTTTTCTGTCTTTCCGTGTTTCAATGGAATCTCTTTCAAGAACAGTCTTTATGACTAACTCAGAGACATACCCAATTCTCAATAACATCCCTTCTTCTTCATTCAAATTACACAACACTAAGCCAACCGGGTCTCTCAAATTTGCCGAAACTCCCCACTTCTCTTCCCTTCGTCTTCAAGCTTTAGCACGTGATGTTTCAGGTGATGCTGAAGATCAGGGGCCGTTTACTAATAATGGGTTTGGCTTTTTTTCCGATGACATTCTCTCCTTGCCTCAGGTAGTTTTTTCTTTGCACTCAGAGACAAAGTGCTTTAGTCCTTGTTTATATGAATCTTTTGTGTATTTCGGCTTTGATTTTATAGTTTTTGCAAGGTTAAACGAAATAGTTAATGTTGAATTTTATGTTGGAGAGTTTGATGATTTCTATCCTCCAAGTGGGTTTGTAAAGCTAGGATTTTTACTCTTGGATTGAAAAGAAATTAGCTTAAGAAAAGCTTGAATTTTTCGAAGATGTTGTGGAACAGAGAACAACTTTGTTCTTCACCTTGAGGTTTGTGATATGTTGAGGTGATATTTGGTGGTAAGGAAGTTGTGGAAACTGAGTTGAAGAGCTGCTAAGGCCAGTTTGAGCTTGAAAAATTTCACAATTTCTTATACTACTAACTAGGAATACGCAATCCTGTCAAATTTAGTTTTGTTTTGTTGTTTTAATGCTGTAATTGTTCTTATCATTCATTGATCACAATAAGTTGTTAAAGGCTGTTAGGGAATCTGGGGGATGAAATCAATGGTCAGTTTCTCCAATTAATGTAGATAACAATGGGATAACATGGGTTTTGGGATGCCTTTTTTCTTTGATCAGAGTTGTGTTCGCATGCCTATATGATGTTTTGGAACCTTTTCTTTTCTATGAGTTAGAAAATAACTGGATGTATCAAATGGCTACTTCAGCTTAGTAGTGATGGCTTATCTCGTGTTATGAAGGATAACATAGAGCGAAGTGAAAGTAGTGAAAAGGATGCAGAGAACATATTGAAGGTGGAAACACCTCTGATTGTACCACATGGAAGCGGAACCGGTGGGGGAACCAGAGCTGGGCTTTTTAGAACACCAATTTCTGGTGGAGTGCAGAGTGCTACATCGGTTCATGGCTTACCTCGACCAGCCTTGGCAGTCCGCAATTTGATGGAGCAGGTAATGGCCATTCTTTTATTTCTTCAGAACCTAGTCATTGCCTGGAATTGTCTAATTTTATGTATTTGATATAATGGTTCTGAACTTACGTTTATTCTTAGTTCTGAACTTGTGTTTCTTTGTAATTCAGGCTAGATTTGCTCATCTGTGCACTGTAATGTCTCGAATGCACCATCGACGAGAAGGATATCCATTTGGTTCCTTGGTGGATTTTGCACCAGATCCAATCGGGCGTAAGTCAAATTTTCATATTTGATTGATACATATACTTTTTTTTTTGTTTCTTAAGATAAAGCAGTATGAGGTTATATGATATAATGCAATTCAATTTGCTATATGAATTATATATATAAATATTTCTTCCCAATTACCTCTAAATGGTATAGTTAGTTTGGCTAAACAGATCTAACTCATTTTAAGAATCCTATTAAAGTGTTTTTTTATTGAATTGGGCTAGAATTTGATCAAATACTCTTGATTCTAGACAATCATTTGAACATTTAAGAACAATCTTCCTAGTGTGCCTAGATGTTTGCAAATGATTTGACTCATTTAATCATTTTGTTTTCTCAATCTGTAGATCCTATTTTTTCATTTTCACCATTGGCCATCCACACAAGGAATTTGCTAGTTGACCCCAGATGCACACTTGTTGTGCAGGTTAGCACTTGCTCTTTAACTCTAGAAATATTTTGGGTGGTTTTTGTTCTCCATTTATGAACTTTATTGACAGTTAGGTTTCATAGATTCCTGGGTGGAGTGGCTTATCAAATGCAAGGGTAACAATCTTTGGAGATGTTTTTCCTCTCCCAGAACACCAACAGGTAATTCCCCCCTGCTCTCTCTCTCTCTCTCTCTCTCTGCTGTTTATAAAGTACGGTTTTGCTATATGCCCTTGAAGGGTAGATTTCTTGATTTCCTTTCTTTCAAGATGCACAACGCGAGGGTACATGCAGCATGATAAGTTTTCAGTTTTAGTAGTGTCTATATGGATTTCTCTTGACATTAACGTTGGTTTCTATCAAGTGTTGCATTCTTCTGGTATTCCTACCGTCACCTTTCTGCTGTTTAACATTGGAGACTACTCTTTGCTGGAACCTAACTGTCAACGGGTTGTTTTGTTGAGACAAACAGAATTTTCTCTAAAGAATCAGTACTAATTTTTGGTAGAAATATGCATCTGCTCTTCACTTTTGTTTTGGCGTTTCTGCTCTAGAGTAACTTTTTTTTCCTCTTTGTTAAGTATAATATCTCTTCATGTTTGCCAGGAATGGGCTCATAAGCAGTATATTGCAAAACATCAACAAGGGCCTACCCAGCAATGGGGGAATTTCTACTATTTCAGGTTGCAAAACATAAGGTTTGTATCCAGCATATTGTGTTTTAGTTAGATGTCCTTTAAGCTTTTAGCGGCATAGATTAGCTGCGCTAAACTTTAACTATAAAATTAGTTCCAAATTCTACTTTTCTGTAGCCCTTCTTGTTAGATGGATTTAACATGGGCAGCAAACCATTGCGGTGTTTTGCATGCTCATTGGTTTTGTGGCCTGTGGAGCACAGCAACTATAAAGAAGTTGAATATTGGTGTGCTTTGTTTTTGAGACATTTTTTTGAATGAGCAAGGACCTAAAATTTAACAAAGGATTTAACTTCACAAAACTTGTGAATGTATTGGCATTCTAATATACTATATACATCTTATAAACATGTCAGTAAATTTGTTGTTAGTGGTGCATAATTAGCTTTGAGTCCACAAGCTTATGTTCCGAGCTCATTTTTATTGCTAAAGATGAAAAGTCAGATGTCTAAAGATCTCACTTTTTTGCCAGTGACATATATTTTATTGGAGGCTTTGGCACTGTTGCTTGGGTTGATGTCAAGGAATATGAGGCCCTTCAGCCTGATAAGATTGCAGTTGATGGAGGGGAGCAAAATCTCAAGGTGATCTTGAAAACCCTTGGTAATTTCAATAGAGAAGATGTGCGCATATGTATGGAAGTTGTCACTGATTCTGTTGTTGTGTTTCTATATATATATTATGTGGTCTGGTCTTATAAGCATTTGAGACTTCTTTCTTTTGGGTGTTATCCAATCAAGGATGCTAAATTGTTAATACTGATTAGTTTGATTTTCTGCATTATGTTAAGGAGACAGGCTGATGGTATCATTCTACTTTTGTGTTTCATCTGAGAATATTCAGTCTGATATAAGCTCAGTACCTCATGACATTTAGTCAAATGTTTTACATTTACAGCTTTTAATGTTTCATCAGAAGGGAATGGTGAAACAGGAAAATCATGCTTTTAGGTATAAATAGGCAAATGTTGAACACAATATTTGAGGGTTACAAATGAATCCAGTCAAGTTTGAATGCGTCAAAAATTAGCTCGGCACTTCATGATTGTTGCCTTATGTTTTGGTGAGTTTTTGTAACTATTGTTAACTTGGTGGTCTTTTAGCTTTCCACTCTCTCGGATCTCATGTGCCCCTTCGCATGGTAATAATTCTTCTTTTAATAAAAAGTCATACAACACAATCATATGAACTTCTATGACCGTGAGTCTATAGGGGATCTAGTGCTAATCTTCTTGCATTTTTCTCTATGATGATAATATCTGCCAGCGTGTACTTTGTGGGCTTCATTGTATTGGGATTTGCATTTGCTACAGGAACTAAATGCAATTTTCTCAAAACTGCTTAAAGAGCTCTTATCCTCTGACACTGAGGTAGATGATGCTGCCTTCATATCAATAGACAGTAAAGGAACTGATATTCGGGTCCGTCAAGGGGCTCAGGTAATCCTTTCATCCAACAACATTTTCAAGCCTGTATTTGGTGATGTGTTTATGGTGGTGATATAGAGAATGTTCTTTTGTAGTTTAACATACAGAGGCTATCATTTGAAGATGGGCATGCTGTTGAAACTCTAGAGGAAGCCAAGGCTGCTCTTTGGAAACTAATAGATAAAGGCCAAGTGCACAGTTTGCAGAAATAAAAATTGGGCTACTTATTGTGCAATCTTTCTTTCTTTTTTCTTTCCTTCCTTTTTGATTGAGCGTGAAGCAAGGTAACCACATGAAACCGAGTTTGTCTTTCTTCACATCTAAATAACCCCATCAGTTCCCCCCCCTGTTTTCCTCTTTAATCTTCATAAAACTCTTAGGACATGTTATAGATGGATTACTATTTATACACAGGTATCTATCTAGATAATGCAGAAGATTTTGGTAGCAATCATACTTCCTTGCCAATGTCTGATTTGTATTGCTTGTCATTGGTATTCAAAACTCATGGACGACACAAGCCCTACTACATGACAAATTTAACCACCAAGAACATGCATGGCTGTCTTTATCGGCTTTGAAAAATAGGTTCGGACCTCCATTTACATTTTGTGATCAAACTGAAAGGTGTAAAGGTGATATTTCAATTCAAGATGGAATCTCATGATAATTGCACGCAACTAGGTTTAGTATTGCCTCAACCAAGTTCCAAAAATGTTATAATCCATGGCATGGTTGCGGCCCTGTTAAGAAAATTACGAAAAAGCATGAAGGAAGACATATCTAATCAACAACTTGGCATGGACCAAATAGGCTAGTAGGACATTTTTTGTTGGATGTTTCATTCATGGGTTTTGCCCACCAATAGAAGGTGATACAAGTGTTTCGTTTGGTGTTTTTGTGATGTTAATTGTGTATCCAACGGTTTCAAACATGACACGTGGAGCCCTAATGTCTCACATACTTTTCAATTGGGCCATCCTATCAATCAATATATGGTGATGTATTCCGCGCAGTAAAACGGCTTTATGTGGAATAAAATTTGATGGAACAATTATCGGACTTGGACAGAGGACCTAATTGAAACATTTGGGACTCCATTGATAAAAGTTTTGCTTCGAGATTCAATTGAGAAGCGAGTAATACATCAGGGCTTGGTTTTCCCTAAAAACTAAATGTAAAACAAGTTCAAATCTTGGAAGTCTCTCCGCCTTCTCTACAAGAACTATCTTTCTGTGTTATAAAGGGCAAAATCACCAAGAAAAAAACAGATAATTTCTCATGCATCTTCAGTTGACAACTTTTCTCCACAAGGGCTATCTTTCAGAGTTCAATTGTACAACAAAAAAAAACACAAGAGTTGACTGAAAAGGAACCCGAAAATCCGGTGTATAACTGCATATTGATACTGAGAAAGGATCTTCAGCACTTGGACCCTGCATCATGCAAAATGTCTCCCAACTTTGAACTTCTCTATTTTCATTTGAAATCGAAGGATATCCCGCTTTCCACATTGATGATCCCTTCTGGCTCACTGTAAATTCAGGT